TTTCTCGCACACCTGCCTGTCCCTTTCTCTGCACTCCTCCCTCGTAACAAATAGTGAACTGTGTCAAAATTTTAATGATAGGTTGTTAAACAACTTTTTTTAATTTTAGGACATAAATTCTGCAAAAACCTCAGAGTTGGTCTGACGTTTTGATTATGATCAGTGTTTCATTGAGTATTTTATGTTTATTAGTTTTCGAGTTAGATTGCAAATTCATTGGTCCGCTTTTGAGCAAAACGGACTGTAATAGGATCGATTATCAGAAACATTCTTGATGGGATGATTTATCAATGATTATCAATATGAAAATTGTTTCACTGATATATATATACAAAATATGTATCGTAATGAAATACAGTTATAATTTTCCTAAACAAACCTCATCACGAAAAATACGGAACGGCAATCTGACAAACAGGTTTTACAGACTGAATGCATTGTTGTACTTCTTATCAAACTTGTTACAGTGTGGTTGAATACGTTGATGTAATGGTTGGATTCAGCGGCATACAGCTGGTCGTAAAGTCAGATAACTTATCAACCATGTCCATATGCTTCAACCAGCAATAAAGTTTGTGTTCCGGTAACATGAACTGAACCAAAAAACTGCTTCCATTATTCATGAATATATATTACCATGGGTGGTGTGGCAACAGATGCTGTTTAAGTTATACCGGTTGGATAATTAAATAGTATCATAGGAGTGGCTTGATATCAAATAGTAGACTAACATGTCATAATAAGTGATTAGTGAGTGAGTGTGGTCTGATGCCGCTTTTAGCAATATTCCAGCAATATCATAGACTAAGGCTTAGTCTCTGAATATATATAATTTTGATAGTAACAAACAAGCCCATTTATATTGAAAAGGAACCTGAGGAAATCTAGACTTGCTTTATTTAGGGCTTTAGCACTGCAGAGAGGGCTTGGCAGTAGGGAAATTAATGTGGTTCAGGGACTGTGAGACAGACTGCAATATCACTGCAGGGGACACCAGAAATGGGCTTCACACATTGTACCCATGTAAGGAATCGTACCCTAATAAGGAATCAAACCCGAGTCTTCAGCATGACAAGCTGACGCTTTAACCGCTAGGCTACCCCACCGCCCCTAATAAATAGAGCAGAGTGAATGAGTGAATATGGTATTATGCCGCTTTTACACCAGAAATGGGCTCCACACACTGTACCCACTTTTCTGATGTTTCACAATATTTCTGCAATTGGTGCAGGCTATCGATATATATTTCATAGAAATTGATTATCTTTAACTAAATATTGATCAGTTATCAATGAATAATGAAGAAGTAATTTGAGCCAAATGACCAAAAGAAATCAAGATATTTCACGTTACTGGTGGGTGTTGATACACTTTTTCATGGATGACCAATGAGAACAGCATCCTGAACATACATCACAAGCATTCTTTGAATATAGACATAACATTGTGTATCATGTGTAGAGTCAGGGATTGGGAAAGGCAGGGGCCAGCGGCCATTTTGCACATTAGAATAAAAAATGGCCCATTCTAAATTCTAAAAATGGCTAATAATCCTAAAAATGGCCCATTGTCAAAGTTCTCTATCCCAATCCCTGTGTTGAGCAAAACTATTTTTCATCTCGATTCGATGATACAGTTTTCATATCGATACTAGGGCTGTGCAATATTACCGGTAAACCGGTATATACCAGTAAAATATTACCGGTAAACCGGTATATACCAGTACAGTATCTCACGATATGATCATTGCGATATGGTTCAGATTCTGCAACAGATTGGGTCATCCAGAGTTAACTCGTTTGGAATTATCTGCCCTTGATTTCCATAGCAACAAAATGTGCTCAAAAAGTGCCAAATGTTTTTGTTCTTATATTTCTGTTGGTTTCGTATAACAGTTTACAAGTGGAAGTATCTCTATATGTAGCTCCAAAAGTGCCAAATATTCTACCAAGTGTTTTAAGTTTCGTGGGTTTGAATGGTTTCATATGTTACATTTTGGAGGAATTGTGGCTTCAAATGGACCAAGTTTTTATTTGGACTTATTACAAATATTAGTAGAGTCTCTGGCTCTGAGTGACCATTTCACAATTCAGATTAATTTGTTATTTATGTTCGTTTCATAAAAGGACCTATGTTATCAATTTATCAAAGCCAGTGTTTTATAAATGTTGTAGGACTGTATAATGACATTCTAGGCAAGGATCTTAGTTATTGTTGGTCACATGAGATTTTAAGCTCAAATAGTTTACCTAAATCATGTTTCTGTTTCATTTTGCAATAGTTCATGTTCATGTTTTATTTTGGAATTGAATCTGAATCACTGAATCACTGATGATACAGTAACAATAATTACATACTGCACTGAAGTGCATTCTGTTGAAGCAAACAACACTGACCATGAAAATCATGTTATACTATTACTTTTATCATTATGTTCGCAAACTATTGTTGCAATAGTTCAATTAAACATTCCACATGAAGGCTCTATATCATTTTATTTATCTGTAAACCACTGGGAAACAGCCATACACAATGGGGACGGGGAGCCTGAAGTGTGGTGTAACAGCAACTAAGAAAATGACATGTCGCACACAGAGAGCTATTATGAATTTATGATGTACGTACTGGGGCAGAAACCCTCCAGTCAATATATCACAATATGTATTGCAATATCTCTTAAATTATTGCAATATATCGCAATATGAGAATCAGGCCAATATCCAGCCCTGATCGATAACCATTGAAAATTCATACCATCAACCATATTTTAAGCCAGCCTTATCACCAACATCATGGAAGGAGGCACCAGAAATAGGCTTGACATAGAGCAACCAGGTGGGGACTCGAACATTGACCTCAGGCATGACATGCAACACCTTAACCACAAGGCCAGCCTCGTCTCACCATTATTACAAGTAACAAGAAATAGACATGATGAACATGATGGACACGACACACCACAGCCCTGGTGGTGAATTTGTCCAATGTACATGATCTATACAATAGCAATGATGATGAATAGAGAATCTCACCCAAGTGTCTGCTGATATCAATTATATCACCACAAGTTGATAAAGTTACAAATATCCGAGGCTTGTCGAGGATATTTTTACTTTTATCAACGAGTGTTGATACATTTGATATCGCAAGACATGAGGGTGAGATTCTATTCATCATCAAAAATCACTCTTCATTTGTTTTCAATGAAAAATGTCTGAACACGGTTCTGCCATTAAACTTGCAGTGCAGCGATGTCAGTTTGTCATAGCATTGTGACATCATCAACTTCATGATGTCATAGCATTGTCAGGGCATTGTACAAAGTCTACTGTCAAAATGGTATCTCATATCGTTTGATCTCACACAAGCTTATATCCTGTGGAACACAGTTTGGGATGATAAAATTACTGGAAAGCATTATTAGTGACCTGTTATGTTCACCGTTAAAAGACACATTCTGTATTTTCATGCCATGCATATAATATCTGTAGAATTTTCAGTTAGTAATTATCATATTCATACAGACAACAGCTGCATGACAAATTAATGACAATATCAACTCGTGATAAGGTTATCATTTGTTTTTTCTTCTGTCTTTATATCATGTTTATCATTGTTTACCAAATATGATAAAAAAGCATTAGACAATTTGGATAATAAATAGGCAATGGCCAAGAAAATAACTGATCAGATATGTTCAAAAGCATGCACATGACAACAGTCTGTTAAATTGTTTTTCTTTGGACTAGCTGACCTTATTTAACTAGTTCACATAGTTACTTCTGCTCGAATAAGGCAAACACTTTCTGTCAGTTTTATTCACTTCCAATTTGTACAAAAATGAAGCACTGAGATTTGGTTAAGAATTTTATCCTCAAATGACCTTGGTCAATGATCATCAACGTAGGATGTTTTCTTGTACTATTCACAATATAGTAGCCCCAGGCAAGCAGATAGTAGCCCCAGGCAAGCGGACTACCGTGAATTTAAAAAAATACAGTGTTTTAAAATTAATCCACACCATTGTTCCCATACCTAATATTTCAGAGAGTGACAGAATATAACAATGACTTTAACATATAAGAGTAACAAATTAACAATGAATCACAATTTTGCAAAAATACAACATTATCACAGAAGTGTTTGCAGATACCATCACTATACTGGTGATAAACAAAACCACACAATTCAGCGCAAACATTCATAACCAGTTTTTATCCCATTTACTGGAACAGTTTGATAAAGATACTTTATAATTATTTCTAGGGGTTAGGATTTAGGTTTAGGGTTTATATTTAGCATTATGTCAGGTTTAGAGTTAGGATAAGGGTTTGGGTAGGCTTTCGATAAAAAAACCCATATATTCTTAGGTATAGAATAATTTTTAAAAACGGGGGTTACGGGCGGAAATCTTTCCAATGAAAATACTGATAATAAACATACTGTACAATAGGCAATGTCACCAGGTCGATATGACACAATATTCTCAACATTCACCATGTTTACTACATTGTTTTCCTATGAATAAATAAGAAATATGTCCAATGTCATGTAGTTCTCAGTGATATAAATAAGAGGATAACCATAGCATAAGTGCACAAATTTCAAAAACACTTTTGTCCAGTCGCCGTATGTAAAATATTTACGAGTCAAAAGTACAAACGGGTCAACAAAGAATTCTCGTATCAACTTCTGCTAAGAACGCGGAGATATCACCTTCGAAAAAATGTTTTTACGAGCAGAATTCGACCACCATTGCAAGGCATTTCAACGAGCAGTAACCATCATCATTGACCTATGATCGGGTCCATGTGTTGCACTGACACTATGTCGGAGTGAGACTTCGTGTTTATCAAATAATGACAGTCTCTCCAACTTTATTCTCTAGATATATTTGAAATGGACATCGCCTCTCAATGCACGTTTGAAAACAAGTGAAGTTTAAATACAAGACAACTACAAGCTGGTAGAATCGCGAGAGCCGAGGCACACTTTCTTACCTGTCGCCGCCATCTTGTCTGCTATGAAGTCACGTGAACAAGTTTGCGAGTGTATATTCGTAGCGACTAGCTATTTATTTCCAGAATATTGATTAATTACGTGCTACGTGATGGCTTTCATGCGTAATTAATTTATGGAAAGCTATGGAACAGCTATAATAAAGTGTCGGTGTAAATCAGCACTAGTAATAGTACTAAATGTGGAGAGGATTAGAACTGGAGATAAGCTCTCGTGAATATATTTTTCCACGGAAGTATAACAGTGGATTTCATACCAGAGTCCAGAGACCATATACCACTGAAGGGGTTCGGGGAGCAGTATGGAAGAGGAGAGGTGGGGGAGAGAGCAGTTTGACACTACAGTTTTCCAAAAATTTAAGTGGACGACGCCAGGTGTTTTAAAGAGACAACTTGTTTAAATACTTACAATATCTAGTAAAAGATAAATCAATAATTCTAATAGTTATTGCCTCTTTTAAGACACTTTCACGCAAGCTCGGGAAATTATTATTTAACCTTATCTTAACTGTTCTCATTATTGCCCCAGTGACTTGTGTATAGTCTAGAAATTATAATTCAAACCAATAACTGTAATTATTATTGACCCAGACACTTGTGAAAGTAAACATCCTCTTCCTAGAACCTAAACTATCCTCAGTATATTGTCTCACCATGCGACGAGATAACCGAGAGAGGGCGCCGCAGAGCTGCGAACAGAGGTCGCCTGCATATCAGCAGTAAACTTGAATGGGCAGAACAAGTTTATATGAGGAAAGCGAAACAAAAATCTCATCTGATGTTTTGGGCAGCCATATTAGAGCCGACGTTAGCCGTACTTGCCAACTAATTTTAGACATGAGCTGAATACTTTTATTCAATTGTTAAATTATCAGGTGAGGTGAGGTGAAATTGGGTTTAACGTCGTGCTTGAGAATATTTCGCTCATATGACGACGTGCATGCTTGTGTATGTGTATGTGTGGCTGCTTGTACTAGCCCAGACTGAAGCTGGTTTTATAGTGCTAGCCCACTGAGATACCATGTCGCAGTGAAGCACACATTATGCTGACTCCGAGCCGACCAGTCCTTGTTGTACCCATTTATGCCGAGCGCCAGGTAGGGACCAACAAGTACCATATTTTAACGTCTTTCGGTATAACGCGGTCGGGATCGAACCCGCGACCTTCCGCTCTCCGGGCGGACGCTCTAACCACTACACCACGGACGCGGTTGTTAATTTCTCAGGGCTCTGGGATACAGACTATAAGCAGGTAGCCCACCGAAACCCAGTTTCTACAGTCAAACAAATTGGGACATTTCTAGGTCACAGATATATATATAATCATCAGGTGTCTAATAATGGCACGTGTTCTATTTTTCAGACGTGCAATAGAGGAAATATGGTACGTACGTACGCTGCGACCTTTAAGTGAGTGAGTGAGTTTAGTTTAACGCCGCACTCAGCAATATTCCAACTATATAAATGGCGGGCTGTAAATAATTGAGTCTGGACCAGACAATCCAGTGATCAACAGCATGAGCATCGATTTACGCAATTGGTAAACGATGGCGTGTGTCAGCGAGCCTGACCACCTGATACCTTCAGTCAGCCCAAGATTACCTCAAGCATGGGTTACTGAAGATCAATTCTAACCCGGATCTTCACGGGTCCTGCGACCTCGATTTTAATGTCTTATATGATTGTCACGAGGCAGTTCTGCATACACGTATTTATGACTGACGCCATTTACTCTGGATTACCCAAGATTCAGAACCTGAGGGGGGTAGACCTTGAGGTAGTCTCGTGGTGAAAGCGTTTGCTCGTCACGCCGAAGACCCGGTTCGATTCCCCACATGGGTGCACTGTGTGAAGCCCATTTCTGGTGTCCCCCGCCGTGATGTTTCTGGAATAGTGTTTAAAGCGGCGTAAAACTAAACTCACTCACCCAGAACTCGAGGAAATCTAGACTTGTTTCAATTAGGGTTTTGCATTGCAGAACGGGTGGCGCTGGAGGACACATAATGTGGTTCAGAGTCTGTGATACGCACTGTCCGTATGTTCGAGTGAATGTACTGAGTTTAATCAGGTTATATATATACTTTTGGACCATACAATCTTGTGATCAACATCATGAACAACGATCTCCTCAATGGGACATGTGTCAACCAAGTCAGCGAACCAGACGCTGGGGCCCTAGTGGTTAAAGCGATCCCGTTATTCCCATAGTCGCCCATTTCTTATTGCGACAAAAACGGGGCGGTGGGGTAGCCTAGTGGTTAAAGCGTTGGCTCGTCACGCCGAAGACCCGGGTTCGAATCCCCACAAGGGTACAATGTGTGAAGGTGTTCCCCGCCGTGAAGTTGCTGGAATATTGCTAAAAGCGGCGTAAAACCAAACTCAGTCAGTCAGTCTTACGACAAGCATGGGTTACTGAAGACCAATAATTGGTTCCAACCCGGATCTTCACGGGTTGGCTTAAATGTGCCCGAAAACACAATGTGTCGAACTGTGGATATGAGAGAGACGGGGCCGACACTATCCAAGGTTGCCTTTATGTTTAGCAAATCCAAATGTGTAACCCAAATTTCTTGACTGAGGGACTAGTGCCGTCTTCCGGATTGCAGAAAGACCAGAGTTTGGTGGATAGATTACTTAAGTTGTTTGGGCTTTTATATTTTAAAAATGCAGTTGAGTTAAAAATTCAGTTGTTTCAAATTGTCAAACTCAGTTTGAAATTTGAGTAAAAACTTAAGTTTGTTTCGAGAAATCGGGGCCTGGGCGCGGCCTTTTAAAACAACAACACGATGGCCAGATGAGATGGCCTCGTTAAATTAATTTCACTTCGCAACAGATTGAAATCTGCTCGTATTCTCAATGGAGAATTCTGTACCATGATATGACAGAGTGCGGTTTTATACCACTTTTAACAATATTCCTGCAATACCAGAGCGGGGAAAACCCAAAATGAGCTTCAGGAATTGTACTCTTGGGAGGAATCGAGAACGGGTTTTCGTCATGACGAAAGAACGCTTTAACCGCCAGGCTGCCCCACCATAGCTACAAGAACAGTAAGGCGAGTTTCGGCATCTACTGTTAAAAACTGCCTCTAAACAGTCAAACTGATTTAGTTAATGTGAATGGACGTTTGACGCGTTGTCGATCTGCGTCCAGTCGTTGTTCCATTCGATGCAAACACATCGCCAGAGTGTAGGTCACCCGCTAACAAATATCGGTTTGGGGTAGCGGGTAGGGCTGCGCAATATAACCAGTTTACCGGTATTTACCGGTTCAGACATGAAAACGATACGTATTGCTATACCCTGATCGAAAACCGGTATTTTAACAAGCATTCGGAAAACTTTGTAACACTCGGAAATTGCCTTGTTTCATTTGTGCCAAATATTATTTACATTTTTATTTTGTCCGGATTAAAAGTTTTTATTAAAGCTTAATCAAGTATAATGATTGTGTTGTGTTTTTGCTTTATAAATCAAGCATTAACTCGATTATAAGTAGTTTTTGTGGTTAAAAAAAACTTCTTGCAATATATTGCAATACATATCGCAATATATGCTTTCGCATCGCAATATATCGCAATATGAAAATTCTCTGCAATACTCACCCAGAGTAGCGGGCGGAATAGTGGTCAATACCAACAACCAAAACCAGGTTAATCATCAGAACACCATCATATGCCGTGCATGTACCGCCAAACATGGTGGACACACCAGACATTGATCGACATTTCCGAATTTACCTTTCACTGATAATTGTCGTCATTACTCTCACATTTCATCAGTTTCCCTTTTTCTTATTCCATTTCAGGATTCCAATATTCCAGTATTCCAGGAACATCATGGATTGGGACACCAGAAATTAACTTCACACATTTTGAAGAATGAAACCCGGGCCTACGGCGTAGTAAGCGAACGCGTTAACCACTAAGCTACTCTAACGAACCCACTTATATGTTTCTGTGATACGGGTGCTACAGCCTAATATGGGTAGAAAACCCGATGAGTTACACGTCGTATTGGTTCATGGAAAACACGGATACATATGGAGCTGAGGTGAGGTGAAATTGGGTTTAACGTCGTGCTTGAGAATATTTCGCTCATATGACGACGTGCATGCGTGTGTATGTGTATGTGCGGCTGCTTGTACTAGCCCAGACTTAAGGCTGGTCTTATAGTGCTAGCCCACTGAGATACCATGCCGCAGTGAAGCATGAATACCCCACTCAGACACATTATACTGACTCCGAGCCGACCAGTCCTTGTTGTACCCATTAATGCCGAGCACCAGGCAGGGACCAAAAAGTACCATATTTTAACGTCTTTTGGTATGACGCGGTCGGGGATCGAAGCCGCGACCTTCCGCTCTCCGGGCGGACGCTCTAACCACTACACCAAGGAGGCGGTCGGATACATATGGAGCTGAAAGTGAGTGAGTGGGTTGGGTTTTAGCAATATTCCAGCAATACCACGGCGGGGGACACCAGAAATGGGTTTCACTCACTGCATCCATTTGGGGAACCCGAGTCTTCGAACACGCTAACCACTGGGCTACCCTACCGTCGCTATGACGCTGAAAGACAATGCAAGGATAAGAATTACCCGACTTAGAAACTCGAACGCATTTTAGCACACCCTGTCACGGACTGCAAAGGGACGCAATCCATTACAAGAATTGATTAATTCGAGCAAAAGAAAGTACATATTTGAACACTGGATTTTTCAAAATTTACAAACGTTACGGAAATGTTAGTATGCTGAAACGGTCGTTGAAACACTGCAAACACAACAAAGTCCAGAAACATAATAATGATAGCTGTAAGGAAAATATCACCTTCGAATAACCTTTAACTGTTTGTTTATTTTTAGCCACCATCAAACATGGGTGTATACTTTCTTTTGTCCGTCAGTATATATATATATATTTTTTTTCATTTAAGTCTTTTATTTCCAATTTCCATGTTACAAATACAGGGCCGCTTGTTCAATACGCTTTTGAAATAAATATCATGTACAATCTAA